TAATTTAAATTTAGCACAAATCACAACAAATCAAAATTTCTAATTTCAGTACAAATTATAACAAATCAAAATTTCTAATTTAAATATTAATCACTGCAAATTAATATTTTTAATTTTAGCACAAATCAAATCCCTAATTTTAGCACAAACAACAACAAACCAAAATCTCTAATTTTAATATAAATCACCACCAATTAAGATTCATAATTTTAGCATATCAAAATCTCTTATTTTAACATAAATAATAACAAATAAAAAAAATTTACAAATTAAAACTTAACAAATAACTATAAATTAATACTCGTAATTTTTATTTAAAAGTAAAAAAAAAATAAAGTTACTTGTAAACAATAAAGAGAAGATACTAAGACTGTAGTGTGGTCCCATGTCTGTATTGTGTGATCTTGATATGGTGAATCGTGAGTCAGTAAATTGCAAAGCAACAAAGGGAGACAAAGAAAAAACAAAAATATTTAACAAGTACAGTGAATAAATAAAAAAATAAAAAATTTCATACACTTTTAAAGTTTTAGCCTTGCCGTAATTGGAGTTGTGTGCACTCAAAAAAAAAAAAAAAAAATTTGTGTGTTAGTGTTTGGTTGGGATTGGAATTCAAAAAAACAAAAAAACAAATAACGTGGGTTCGTGGTATGGTATCAGTGTGTTTGGGATGCATTTGGGAGAGCAATGTAGCAGGGGCCTTGTCACTACGTCAAAATTGGATTTTAGCGGCGGTTTTTTACCGCCGTTAAAGGCTGTAAAACCGCCGTTAAAGCCTTTAACGGCGGTATTAACGGCGGTTTCGTTACCGCCGTTTATGCGTGTGTCGAAAAAAGTGAAACCGTCGTAAAAAGGTAAATTACCGTCGTTAAAAGTCGACTAAAAACGGCTATTTTTTACCGCCGTAAATAGGTTCAAATTTTTCAGAAAATAATTCTTTCTTCTTGCACTCCCCAAGTTTTGAACCCAAGACCTCACATCCACCAACACCAACCACTCTGCCATAGCCACTCTTCATGAAATATATTCCCTAAATAAATATTTAAACATTACTTTTACTTTATTGTAAATGGTTTCGCCGGAGCTCGCTGGAGTTTCGCCGGAGCACGTCGGAGTTTCGCCGGAGCTCCGCCGGCAAAGACCGCCGTCATTAACGGCGGTAATGATTGGGCATTAGCGGCGGTTTTGTTACCGCCGTTAAAAGTGGGCATTAACGGCGGTTTCGTTACTGCCGTTAAAAGTGGGTTTCATTACCGTCGTTAAAGACACTTTTAGTGGCGGTTTTTTAATGGCGGTAACGAAACCGCCGTTAATTTAATGTATTAACGGCGGTTTTCGTTACCGCCTTTAATAGTACCTTTAACGGCGGTTTTCGTTACCGTCGTTAAAAAAACCGCCGTTAATACCAATAGGGGTCGTCGCCGTCGTAGCACCAACAGGGGCCACCGTTGCAGAAGCACCATGCTCGACCTCTATTTCCCGCCGTTAAAAAAACTACCGTTAATGCCCTGTTTTGGCGTAGTGTGTGTAAGCAAGACCAGGCCAAAAAAAATTTTCAAAAGTCAAGGGGTGACCCCCCTTGACTCAATGTCCCTTCGCCATTGAATGTAAATATATATAAAATATTTAAAATATCTTTCTTTATATTGATTTTACTTAATAAAAATAGATAGATAGTTTAAATTGAAAATACATAAAAAGAGTAGGATTTAAATTGACAAAATTAAAAATTTAATTGAAAATACATAAAAAGAGTAGGATTTAAATTGACAAAATTAAAAATTTAAGATTTATTTTGTTACAATGGTTAAACCTTAAGATATTTTTATAATTTTCTTAGAACATTAACTTTATTGAATATTAGTAGCGACATGACCGGATCATTTTGTTTTAAAAAATAAGGACTATTTATTCCCGACTATCACAATTGTGTCCATATTTTTCTAGACAAATCAAATCCGATCATGTGGCTATTAATGTCTCATCAGCATGACTTTTTTAGATGGTATTTTTCAAGACAAATCTAATCCAATCACATCTCATCATGTGACAAATCTAATCTGATTATGTGACTTCTAATGTCTTATCATTCTAATTTTTTACATTATTATTATTATTAACAAAATCTTATAAAATAAATTGCTTGAATTATTGAGTTAGATATGAAATGGAGCCCATTCAGTGAAACACACCCCCCCTAACTAGGCTACCGGAAGTTACCTCAAATAGGTTACCGGAAATTTAAAAAAACAAAAGAAAAAAAAATTTTTTAAAAAAAAAAAAAAAAAAACTAAATAAAAAAAAAAAGATTTGAGCCCTTCTAACATGAATTATTTGGTTCAGAAATTCACAAATAAATTTACTAAGTAGGGAAACAAAATGTTTTCCCTATCTTAAAATATTCAAAGTTATTGAGAATGGTAAGTGTTTTAAAACAAATCTGAAAAAAAAAATCTCATGCCCAAACTAAACACAACCATTTTCGGAGTCACCACGCACGACAGCATGAACATACACATTGATTCAAGGAAGGTAATGGATTGAACAATCGAACACAAAGAACAATTATGAATTTGATAAAAAGAGATACTTTCTTTTGTAATAATATTAATCTTCAAAATAAATTGATTTTCCCTAAGACTTGCAACCATTATTTATAATAGAACGAAGTCCTAATTAAACTTAGGAAATAAACAGGAAAAGACCATACTTGCTAATCAAACCTAGGTCAAAAGAATTACAAAAATTACCAAATATGAAAAAATTTGAGTTAAGCTCAAATCCGAAAATTATAATAATAAATACATATTCTTGAGAAAACCTAGAGCCAATTGGATTTGTCTATATCGAGTTATAGGCGAATCAATTATTTTGAAAAACATTAAAATTGAGAAATTAAAGCATAAACATTAGAATTTGCTCGAAATCCATCATAGGCCATGTCGAAGCAATGGGTTTTAGTTGTCATGCCATTTTCTATGTCCTGACCAAATTTCACGTCATTCCAAACACGTGTCATCTTGCGTCCACTAATGCCGTTTGCCTTTGCCTTATTTGTCCATGAGTTCCAAGAACTCTATGACCAAGCACTCTGCATCACATGTCAAGTAGATCCACTTCAAAGAAGGTGCAACTTGATCTTGTTAAGCTTGAACACCACATCCTTAATGTATGTCCTGCATTCAGGCAATTCTGCACAACACCCTACACCTATTTCCATAATGGCCAAAAGAGAATCTTTATAGGCAATCACATCCCTACCATCTTCTGTTCTTAACAAACCACCATCCACAACTTCCACTACTCGGTCTGGAAGTGAAGCATTCACCCATTGCTTCAAAGTCAGTGCTTCAGTGAACATCTCATCTGTTGGTTTCTTCCTTGTGAATGTTTCTAGTAACATTATTCCATAGCTGTATATATCACCTTTGGTAGAGACTGTTCCTTCAGAACCATACTCTGACAAGAAGCATGACAACAAAAATAAATAAATAAAAGTTCTTAGAGCGTCTTTAATGCCTATAGTAAACAAAAAATAGAGTTTCAATGTAGTTGTTTGCTAAATTTTGATATTGCTATCCCTGTGCCAAATATGACGATAAAGGTTTGGCAAATTAACAAATTTTGACAATGGTTTCTCTTTATCTCTCTTGATGGAAGCCCATATAAGCTATTTGTAGTAACTTTTGTGAAATAGAAAATAAAAAAGAAATTGCACTTCTCCTATCAGTACAGGGTTGCCAAATTTTGACATTTTGAGTATTGTAACATACCAAATATTAGTTTAGTATGTGTTTTGACAATTCAACATTAGAGATGATCTTATAATATATATATATATATATATATTCTATTAGGCCTTGTTTTAGATATGCAAGTAGTATCGTATGTTATTTTATTTTTTTCTCCTATGGGCGTAATTTGAATATGGTCAGAAATTCAAAAGTGCCACACACATTTACACAATAATATGGGGGGTTTTTTTGGTCTATAATGGTTGGACATGGTGGATATTTGGTACTAGTATAGAGTTACACAACCAAACCCATAATTCTCCTATTTCTGTACTAATGAGCAGGACCATGGGATGTCTGGATTGGAAGTCTAAGTTAAGCTTACTCTCACCAACCAAAGCCAATAAGAAGTGATCTATTGACCTTAAGACCAAAAAGTTATTGGCATAGAAATTTTTTTTTTTTCTTTTTTTGACCAATTAACCACATTTAAGTTATACATAGACTAACAAAAGGGTTCAGCAATTAATCAATTAGATGTTGCTTAAAGTAGAGGGGAGAAAAAACAGGGAAAAAGGGAATAGACAAAGGTGGCAACTTGATCTTGTTATTTTTCTTTTATCGCAACATCATAAATAGCTACTAAATTAATCAAGCCAAGTCCAAAAATCATCCACATACCTGGAAATATTTCCATGGAGCTGTCCAGGACTTAATGCTTGTCCAAAAATTTACAGTTGTTCTAAAATGTATCATTGTCATAAAAAGGAATAGTTTTGGAAGGAAAAGTTGTAAAAATATGTGAGGCGTACCTGGTGCAATGTAGCCGAGGGTGCCTAAAGTCTTTGTTTGCGTTGTTGTATTGTTTTGCGCTAAAACCTTTGCAATGCCAAAGTCAGCAACATGTGCAACCATTTCATCATCTAACAGAACATTGCTAGGCTTCAAATCACAGTGGACGACAGGCTCTGCTTGACCATGGTGGAGATATTCCAAAGCTAATGCAACATCAATCACAATACTTGCTCTTTGATGGAGATCCAAGCAATAGTTATGAGAATACAACCACTTCTCGAGGCTTCCATTAGGCATGTATTGAAGAATCAAAACTCTTAATTCTGGATTGGAACATCAACTAATGACTTTAACAAGGTTCCTATGGCGAACTGCTCGCAAGACACTGCATTCTGCATCAAAACTTTTGAAAGCACCCTTTACTTGCAAATTCAAAACTTTTACCGCTACTATTTCTCCATCAGAAAGTAGTCATTTGTATATGGAACTATAACTCCCTACACTGAGCAAGTTGGCTTCACAAAAGTTGTTTGTAGCTCTAGAAAGCTCTTGGTATGAAAACATCTTATGCTCAACTACAGGCAATAACCCAATTGAATTCAACTTCTCCATATTGTTTCCTTGATAGACTTTCCAAATGAAGAAGAGAGCAACAAAGATTATCACTAATGCAATGGTAGGCATAATGATTTCAATAAGTAATTTTGTTCTCGATTTTTGCATTCTATGAGTTGTGCAGGGTGGCACATGTAAAGTTGGTGCGCCATAGAGTGCTTCATTCTCCATAAAACTCTCTGCTGTGAGGTTCTTGAAGGGCCTTTGACTTGGAATTTCCCCAGATAATCTATTGAAAGACAAATTCAAGTATTTGAGATGTGAAAGTTTCTCAAGAGCCTTAGGTATAGCACCAGATAGATTGTTGTGGGATAAATCCAAGGAGTCCAATGTTATCAAATTTCCAAATGATTCTGGAATGGATCCCCAGAATGAATTTCTTGACAGATTAAGAGAACTAAGGCTTTGAAAAGCTACTATAGCATCGAGAATCTTTCCTGAAATATTGTTTGAAGATAAATCCATGCTTTCCAAACCTTTTAATGCTTTAATGTTTGGATCGAGGCTCACGCCTAACAGATTGGATGACAAATTTAAATTCAAGAGATTTTCAAGGCTCCATAAACTCGATGGTATAGATGAGTTCAATTTCTTAGAACTTAGGAGTAGTCTCTGCAAATGGCTAAGATTTCCAGTGCAGTGAGGGATCGAACCAGAGAGCTTGTTATTTTGGAGATAAATTTCTCCCAAGTTGCTTAAATGACATATCTTATCAGGAATGGACCCTTCAAGCTCATTACCAAGTAAATACAACCTTTGCAAGCCTTTCATTTCCCCAAATGTAAATGGAATAGTTCCTTGAATATTGTTCACTAAGATCAGGAAGATTCACTTTTGAGGAACCAATCTCTTTAGGAATTTCACCATTTATTTGGCATCTAGATGCATCAAAATATTGTAGGTTACTTGAAAGGTTCCCGATGGATTCGGGTATGATTCCCCCCAATGGATTACCAACTATAACCAGGTATATCAAAGAGCTGTAGTTTGTCATATCTATCAGAAAACTAATTGAAGAGCTTCCTTGTTCCAATGTTAGTTTATTGTTTTCCAAAGAAAACCTTTCAAGGATACCCAAGTGGCCAAAAATTCTAGGTACTGGCCCTGTAAAGTGGTTAAAAGACTGGGCTAATTCACTGAGCTTTGAGCAATTGGACAGATACAAAGGGATTTTCCCACTAAGTTTGTTCAGTTGTACATCGAGTATTTCAAGATTGGGAAGCCAAAGCCCAGTATTGGGAGGAAGATTTCCTAAGAGGCTGTTCATTGATAACAAAACCCATTCAAGAGTGGAGATGTTTAATAGTGTAGGTGGAATCCACCCACTGAAATAGTTTTCATAAAAAAAAAAATTCTGTGCAACTTCTTCAAATGTCCCAACTCATTAGGAATTTTTCCATAAACATGGTTGTTTTCTAAACCAAACCCTTCTAAGTTTGACAAATTACCAAAGGAAGGTGATAGGGTACCTGGAAGATTGTTACTTCGTAGGAAAAGATTACGAAGCAATGGTAAGGTGGTCAGCTCATTTGGTATTCGACCGACAAGTCTGTTAACTGCAAGAGACATGACTCAAAGCTTTTGACATTGTTGTATGCTTGTTGGAATCTCTCCTTCCAACAGGTTGTCTTGTAGTATGAGATGTGTTAAGCGATGCAAACGAGTAAGGTTTTGCGTCACAAAACCATGGAAACTGTTGTTTCGAAGATCAAGCCTCCTGAGGAATGAGAAGTTTCCAATATGAGGAGAAATGGTGCCTGCAAGACCCATGCTCTGAAGCCGCAAGGCCGGGACTCTTTGTCTGCGTCGGCTGCACGAGACTCCAGCCCAGTTGCAGAAATTGGTTCTTGTGGTCCAATTACCCAATACATTGTTAGGGTCATACTTGACAGCAGTTTTGCAAGCAAGCAAAGCTGATTGATCGGTTAAGTTTGAGAATAGAAAGGCTAGGGAAACTATGCAAGACTGCACTGCTAATATCAGTACTAGTAGAGCCAGCAGAGAGTTCATGTAAATTCTCTCCATGTGGTGGGCTTTGTGCAAGAGTGTGGTTGTTTTGGTCAACAAAGCCATCTTTTAAATCAAGACTTGATTGAGAAGTTGAAACTTGTGTGGAGGAGATTGGAGGAAGCTTGGAAAGGGAAATTATAGTTTCCTTAACTCTATTTTTAATGAAAAATTTCTTTCAAAAATTATTTTTTTTAAAATTTATTCTTATATGTTTGGTGGCTGAGAGGGAGATTTGCGCCGAACAATTGGGCCGAGCTATATCAACGCGATATGGCGTTGGGCCGAGCTAGGGGCAAAGACCATGTGCCCAGCCGAACTGAACCAACGTGGCTGCCCTGGCCCATTAAGTTGGGCCCGACAGGCAGACCGAGCTATGATTTGGCGAAGATGGATATTTGGTTAAATCCGTACTGATGCGTTGGGTCGAGCTACGGACAGTTCGGACTAACGTAGGGCTGAGGAGTCATACAAGGTAGCAGGGCGAGGCTAAGACGCCGAACCGTGCATCCTACGGCCAGTTAATCCCGATAGACCAGTTTATTGTAGCTCGGCCGGTCCAGTTCGTTGTGGTGTCTGTTTCTTCCAAGTGATGGCCCGGTTGTGTAAGCCACCTAGACTAATGGAAAAGCAGAGAAAATCCACTCCTGGTATGCGTCAATACTGTTTGGCGGTTCGACAAACACTGTTTGGAGGTTTTGGTCTCTACACGTGTAAAGAGGGAAGAGGGGAGCACAGTCGCCTGTTCAGAGAAGGACAGCAAAGATAGTGCACCCACAATCTCTGAGGCTGCATAGCCAGGCTAGAAAAGAAAGATGAGAGAGACGTTAGAGGTAAGCAATCTGAAGGAATTCCCAATTCTCTCTCTAGACAGCTTTCTATTATTCTTCTTCTCCTCCAAGTGTGCTTGTAGACGCGCTCCCGGGAACTCTCCGATATCCGCGCTTCTTGCGAAGGCGCGAATCTCGTTTTGTTCTGAGATACTATAGTTCGGACTCAATGTCACGGTTTTAAATCTGATCTCGCAAAGTGCAATGCAAGACCGCTAAATCACCGAAGAGTCCAAATCTGGCAAATCATTTTGGAAAACTGATTTTTAAGAAAAAAGTGCCAAACATGAACTGCTTTGCCAGATACAGAGTCGCTACCTAAATATTTTATTTTGGGTGGCAATTTAGGAAACCCTGACTCGTGCCTAAGGCCACGTGTCCATCATCACCAAAGTTGCCTCGGCTCGGGAACTTAGGTACGATTGGGGAAGGTCATCTATGAGCACCCCCACTCGCCCGATCAAAAATCGGCATGTACTCTGCATGATATCTTGTTTTTGAAAGCACATGCGTTCTTATTCTGGTTAATTAGCTAGAATTATTATGTGATACGTACAACACACAAGTATAGACTAAATCGCCTAATTTGGAACCAAACATCGCATATCCGTTTGTTTGGAAATGGTTTGAAGTTTGCTACTCGCAAGTAGGCTAAAACACGGATTTCAATGAATCGTTCCAATTCAAGTAATCCAACCTTCACCCACAGGCATTCAGGCAGTTAAAACAATTAAGCAAATAGCCTCATGGCAAGCATGCTGTCATGGCAAAACCCACACTCATGCAAGGATGCTAAAGCATAAACACTTAAGTGTACTCCGAGCCAAAATAGAAACTAGTTAGTAATTAATGCATGATCCTAGTTCATGTTAAGATGGCTAATGCAACACATGTAAAATGCAACTAGAAATAGGCTCGACTATTTTAAGATGACATATGAGATGCAACATTTGATACATGTATTCAACTTGGAATTGAAATACAATGCAGTTAGTATGATGCGCCGAGCCCGGTGCATGCAATACGGATGAATGATGAAACATGCATAGCATAAGGATGCTAAATAAAATATGCCCTAAGACTAACCATCAAAAGCAGGTAAGTAAAAGGGAGAAAGATGTGGGGTTTGAAGACATGCACACACGCATGCACACTTATTACAAAATTCGCCCTCTCGACGGAGAGTCCGAATAAATAACACATGCCAACTAATTAACTAACAAACAAGCTAATTAACTATTACATAACCGAATGAATAACTAGCTACAACTAATTATTACAAAACTTAATTAATTAACAAATTAACTAATTAAATTACAAAATCAAATGCTAACTAACAAGTAAGCAATTGAACAATGCTGCCTCGGCAAGTTGAAGAAGGTGAACATGTATGCTCGGTTCCCGTCCCGGTAAGCTCTCTAGCTGCTCTTTAGAGGCTCTGTCTGCAGGGTGTCCTTGAGACCTTGCTACTGGAACTTACCAAAAACATGCTGGGGAGTGCATCAGTGGCCTGCTGGCCATGGGAAGCCACTGCCGACCACCTGCCGGCCAAAGATGGTACACTGCCGACCAAGAATGAAGGAGGTGCCGGCTATCTATAGGGCATTGCCGGCCACTGATGTGTTGTGACGCCGAGCTGTAGCAGAGCACAAAATAGAGAAAAGAAAGGGTCTCCCAAGGGTATGTATGCACTATGCCACCCTATATCACCTCGAAACATCAAGGGAGAGGCATAGTCAAGTCCAAGACCATCAATCACGCATCCCGATGCATGATGGCCAAAGATTCAACTTGTGCAAATCAATGCGAAATGAATGCACATATAAAACACATAAGTGCCTAGAACTCTATTATGGATGATCAAGAGCGTCAGCGACCGAGAATTGAGACACATTTCATCAATTGAAGTATGAAACGTCCCTCGTTTCTCGTGCTCAGATTAAGACTTAATCCAAACAACGATGCAATGCAAGATGTGCCAAACACGATCCTAATGCAATATGAATAACCTAGCAAGGCTAATGGCATGCACAATGCTAATGCACATGGCACACAATACGATGTAAGGCAAGCATGCAAACAACATGTAATGGAACTAGCATGCGACAACATGTGAGACAAACATGCAACAACATGCAAAGATGGAGCAAGCATACAACAATATGCAAGACAAGCATGCAATAACATGCAAGAATGGAGCCTAAGTTACACAGATGCGGGTACGAGGATCGGGTGCGGGTGCATATCTAGGGGTCAGACACTTTAAAATTAAAAATTAAGGATACGTGGATATTTATCCAAATTTAGATACGGGTACGGGGATACGTTAAATATCTATATATTTTTTAAATATAGTTATTAAGATGAGTTATATTATATAAATAACAAATAATTATTTTACATATATGTGTTTATTTATTTTTATTAATATATATAAGTATATACTACCTTATAAATATATTATATGCTAGACAATAATTATTATATAATATATAATAATAATTGTTATTATTATAGTTATTATAATAATAATTATTAACTATTATTATTTTATATAGATATATACGAATGGATATAGACAATAGTTATTATTATTATTATAATAATAGTTATTTAAATATAATAATAGTTATTAACTATTATTATTTTATATAGATATATACGAATGGATATAGACAATAGTTATTATTATTATTATAATAATAGTTATTTAAATATAATAATAGTTATTAACTATTATTATTTTATATAGATATATACGAATGGATATCGTCTGGGGGTGTTCGGCTGTCCGATCGACTGACGGAGCTTCGATCTTCGACTGGATCGACCGGATGGAGCTTCGACTGGATGGAGCTTCGACTGGATCATTCGACCAGGTTATCTCTTGCTCTCACCTCTTTCATTTCTTTGGCTGTGAGCCGTGTCCGATAGAGAATAAACGAATCCGACACAGATCCCACACCCGCACCCGTGTCGTGTCGTGTCGACACGGGTACTTCGCCCCAAAGTGGCGAGTCCATGTAACACAGAATGGAGCAAGCATACAGCAATATGCAAGACAAGCATGCAATAACATGCAAGGGTGGACTTAAACCAAAATGGGCAGACCTCAACTATGCCCAAATCAGTGGCCAAAATGCATCAAAACTAAGGCATGAAAGCATATATAAGCATGCACAATGCAATGGCTTAACAACTAGACCTCAAAACACAAACCTCAATCATGATAAAGAAGCGATAAACATGGAAGTGTGACAACACTAAAGGCTCTGAAATCAAGTGTGAAATGATACCAAATCATTCAAACAACACAAGTAAGGCATGCAAGAGGACCTAAGGCACAAAGCCATCAAAGGGACTACACAAAGGGCATGCAATACATGGCACAAATGATTGAACCAAACATGGACAGAGGTTAAATAGGTCTAAACAAAGACTTAAACATGCTGAGATGAAGGCTCAAATACCTAGGCACGCAAGCACGCAAGCACACAAGCTAAGCCATAAACTAGGCAATAATGCACAACACTCAAAGACATTTAAAGCATGAATGAAGTGGGAATATGGAAATGCTACATGCTCTGAAATGAAGCATTAAATGATGCCAAATCATCTAAATAGCTTAAATATAGCATACATGAAGCATCAAAACACAAAGCTAGTAAGGCCAATTGCACTACAGCTATACAAAGCGTGAAGGATATGGCAAAGGCAACCTAAAACCGTCCTAGAACATGTTAAAATGAGACTAAAACATGTATGGGAGTAAGCCAAAACAAGCTAGCATGGTGAGTATGAGGCATGATGCATACAAGGCAAATAAGGTGGATTACACTACATCTATTAAGACCAAACATGGGATGACTCAACCAACAAAAATCAGAGTTATATCATGGCATAATAACCCCCAAAACCCACTGAGATGGCATCCCAAAGACCTAAGTATAGAGGCATGCACAATGATCCATTCATGAGGCATAAAACACAAACTCTCCAAGGCATTGAAAGCATGTCAAATGCAGGTGTATGGCCACATTTCATGGACTGAAATAACATTCAAGATGATGGCAAAGCATGGAAACATCACATGCATGGCATGGTAGGGGCCTCAAAACCCAAGGCTAGCTAAAGCATTTACACTATAGCTATACAAAACATGAGTGATATGACCATGGCAGCCCAAAACAGTCCTAGAATAGCCCTAAATAAGAATAAAATCATGCTGGAGCAAAG